AAATTCTAAGGACGTTTGTACTTGCCTTTTAACGTGAATTTGTGAAACATTAAAACATTTGGGCATTTACCTTCTGAAGCTATTTGCATGATTCTGTTAACAGGATTTGATTTATTTTCAAAACCAGCGTGATACTTTGATTGTCTTATTTTTAATCCCTTTTACGACTGGTTTAGGTTTTGAGGAAGCTTGTGGATGATGCTTCAAAGTTTTTGAATGATAAAGTCACTAAAGCAGTGGTCACTGTGCCTGCTTACTTCAATGATTCTCAAAGGACTGCTACAAAAGATGCCGGTCGTATTGCTGGTTTGGAAGTACTTAGGATCATAAATGAGCCTACTGCTGCCTCATTAGCATATGGGTTTGACAGGAAGAACAATGAAACTATCTTGGTATTTGACCTTGGAGGTGGTACTTTTGATGTCTCAGGTATAGTGTTTGTTACTGGGATATGTTCCCTAGCCAATTCTGTAAATACATTGTTGGTTTTGGTGTTGTTATTAGATTTATTTATAAAAAATTTCATTGCATAGATAATTTTTCTAAATTTCTCTTCTTCCATTACAGTACTGGAGGTTGGTGATGGTGTGTTTGAAGTGCTATCTACTTCTGGAGATACACATTTGGGCGGTGATGATTTCGATAAGGTTCGGATTTTTTTTATATTAATTCTGTAATGCTATGGCTGTACACTTGAATCTTTTTACATTAAAAAAATTTATCTCCTTTGCGTGAAGTTTTGAGGCCTAAATAGTGATAAGGGTGGTTCTGATAATGATGTTATTGTACAGAGGATTGTTGACTGGCTTGCTGCAGACTTCAAAAGAAATGAAGGAATAGATCTGTTGAAGGATAAACAAGCTCTTCAGCGGCTGACAGAGACAGCTGAGAAAGCCAAGATGGAGTTGTCAACTTTGACTCAGGCTAACATTAGGTTCGTTGCGAATATCTGAGAACCTTTACTTTGTCTGTGAAGCGTTTTGCAGCTCTCTGGGCTGTTTTCATTTCTAACAGTGTTTTATTGGTGATAATTGTTTTGTTCCAGTCTGCCTTTCATTACTGCGACTGCTGATGGCCCCAAGCACATTGAGACAACCCTTACAAGGGCCAAGTTTGAGGAGTTGTGCTCAGATCTGCTTGACAGGTGTGAACTGTTGTTTCAACATGCAAAGACTGGATATCTGCATATTTGGCTGTGGCTCCTTTTGTTGCTAATATCAAGATATCCTATTTGGTGCTTAGGGTTGCAGAGTGCTTTTTGATTCTATAGTAAAGTTCTCATTTATATTTTATTTTTTAGGCTTCGAACACCGGTTGAAAACTCCTTGAGGGATGCAAAACTCGCCTGGAAAGATATAGATGAGGTGATACTTGTTGGTGGTTCAACACGTATACCAGCTGTGCAGGAGCTTGTAAGGAAGGTGACAGGAAAGGAACCAAATGTGACAGTTAATCCTGATGAAGTTGTTGCCTTAGGGGCTGCAGTTCAGGTGGGTCTCTGATTTCCATCCACAGGCTATGCCCATTGTGATGTGACTTTCATTTTTCTGAATTGTGAGGGGACAAAGCTTCTTTTGTTTTGTTTTGTTAACTGATATAATGCTTTCTAAAGTTATTGGTTCTTTTATTCATGAGACAGTTTGTGTTACTATTATCATATCTGACCTGTGATACTTTTATTTTCCTGATTCTAGGCTGGTGTATTAGCTGGTGATGTCAGTGACATTGTGCTCTTGGATGTGACTCCACTGTCATTGGGTTTGGAGACCCTTGGTGGGGTCATGACAAAGATCATCCCAAGAAACACAACTCTACCTACCTCTAAGTCAGAGGTGTTCTCAACAGCTGCAGATGGACAGACTAGTGTGGAGATTAATGTACTTCAAGGGGAAAGAGAATTTGTTAGAGATAACAAATCTCTTGGGAGCTTCCGTTTGGATGGTATCCCGCCTGCGCCACGCGGGGTTCCTCAAATTGAAGTCAAATTTGACATTGATGCCAATGGTATTCTCTCGGTCGCTGCTGTGGATAAGGGCACAGGGAAGAAGCAAGACATCACGATTACTGGTGCCAGCACCTTGCCTAGTGATGAGGTATGTCAATGTTGTTAACTAGCAAGTAAAAAAATTGCCAGCTTCCTGATATTATATTTGGAGCTGAAGTCTAGGCATGCCTTTACTGTGTGTCTAAGTTTTGAATTATTTTGATGGAAATGTCTGAAAACATACAGGTGGAAAGGATGGTTAGTGAAGCCGAGCGGTTTGCAAAGGAGGACAAGGAGAAGAGAGATGCCATTGACACAAAGAACCAGGCTGATTCTGTTGTCTACCAGACTGAGAAGCAGCTGAAAGAGCTGGGGGACAAGGTTCCAGCTGAAGTTAAAGAGAAGGTTGAGGCAAAACTTGGCGAGCTCAAGGAGTCAGTTGCAGGGGGTTCAACTCAAGCAATAAAAGATGCCATCGCTGCCCTTAACCAGGAAGTAATGCAGCTTGGCCAGTCTCTTTACAACCAGCCTGGCGCTCCCGGTGCTGGTGCTGGTGCAGGGCCAACTCCACCTGGTGCTGAAGCTGGTGGGCCTTCAGAATCATCGTCCGGCAAGGGACCTGATGGAGATGTTATTGATGCAGATTTCACTGACAGCAAGTGAGCAAGATGGTTGGATAGGAGTTAGTGGTTTTCTTGCATAATTTGTTTTCACTAAATGTGTATAAGAGAATGATTTTGCGGGGATGGGATGTGGTGTTGGATTACTGTGCCATTTTTGTTTTATGAAGAAATGAGAAACAATGTTGTTAGATGGCAGAGGGCTTAGTTACTTGAAATGAATAGGTGACTTACGAACGATATTTATGATTGTCATGGTTTTCTCAGTAAGTGGAAGTTGATACTTTAGCTCATATGTTTAATTGCTTGATCATACTAATCTTAGGAAATGTGTTATTTCTAAGCTAGTCTTTTTTATCTTTAGCTTCTTTATGAATCCCGAACTTTGCATTTAGGCTTTGTGCATTCATCCGCATTTTGGTAGATCTAAGCCGTTTAACCAATCCAACGAATTAACACGACATGCCATTAAATTTTTAAATCAGGTTATTTTATTTTATTATATTTATATTTGCAAAACTGAAGTAAACCCTAACCTTCTCTTGTAGCGTACCTTCTTTTCTGTTTTTTTACTTGTTTCTTCCTGGTCGTGCTCTCTTCCCTCCCACTCTTGTTTTTTCTTCTTCAACTTCTTTTTTTCTCTTCCCTCCCACTCTTGTTTTTTCTTCTTCAACTTCTTTTTTCCTGGTAACGTGCTCTCTTCCTGGTTGGAGTTTTGTGCAGTTCAATCATCTGCTGGTTGTGTTGCAACCACATTGAGGTTAATTTTAACGCAGGAGCAATGATGACATAAGCATGTGTAATGGAGATGTAAACCACATGAGAGATTGAAGGAATTTTGAGTTTCTATCGTGAATTTTAGTTGCATTTAGGTGTGTAATGGAGATGAATTCATTGTTTAAAAGAGTTGTTCATTCTCTTTCTCAATTGATTTGAGAAGTTTGGTTTTGTGTTTGACATATTTTAATGTTTCAACTGGAAATATGGCTAGTCTGAGACAAACATTTTCTCCCACTGTTTTTCTATACTTTCCAAGAAGAAAGAAGTTGAAGAAAAAAAAAGTACACTCTGCGAGAGAAAACAAAAAACACACTCGCGTTAAACTAACCTTAATGCTATTAAGGTTAGTGTTTACATCAATTTTGGAAATAAATAAAAATGAAAAAATCTGATTAAAATTTGATGACATCTTGTGCTAAGTCGTTAGATTAGTTGAGCGGCTTAAATTTACCGAAATGTGTGTAAATGCACGGAACCTAAATGTTGAGGCTCGAAATCCCTTGTTTACATGCTTTAATTAGGAAATATTAGGCATGTAATTGTTAATTAGTGTCCTACCCTACTTGTTAACACAAATCATCATGCTCATCAACTGGCCTTTCAATACTTCCAATACTTCCAATTTGTGCAGCAGTAGAAGCATGCATGCACTTCCAATATTCTTAGGATAAAATTGTGTATTAAGCCATGGTTTTGTTGATAAAATATTAAACTTATGGTTTGAAAACCAAGAAATTTTGTTATGATATTGACACAATATATAGCCGATTTATAATTTGGTTTTGTAATCGGGTCCTTTTTTAGAGTATCAAAAACAGAATATCGTTTCTTAGATGGCTCTCTAACTAAAGAAACTCTCACTCAAGAGAAGGCTTTCTAAATGGGATGCGAAAGGAAATTTAGAAAATATTGGAAATGCGTAAACCTCATTTCATCTGTAATTTTCTCAGGGGAAAAAGAAAAAAGAAACTACATATAGTCCAATATCTGTAATCCCTGAACTTCTAATCGACTTGGGCGTATTGATTCCTAAGTAAGAAATTTCAAGCTTTTTTTTATCTGCACAATACAATGTTTGATTTCGAATGTAGCATATGATTCAAGTGACGAAAGGCTCCCGAATTCAACAAACCTTGATTTTGGGATAAATTGGAAACTTTCCATCTGCAGTAAATGAAAGTGACTTTATGAATAGGTTATGATCAAGTACCTCAAAGTAACCAAGGGATCAAACATCTGCAAAATGATCACTACAATCACAAAATTTCTAATGTAGCAGAGCTACTAACAGAATCGACATCAGCTTTGAATGAAAACTTCAATCTTGTTCATTTATATTTTGTATTATATTGTAAAAATAGAAGTGTAAAATTTAGGTGTTAAAAGGATATATACATAGACATGGCTTTACCAAAGGAAACAAAACAAATACTACTTGAGTATCTTTGGCAAAGAAGCTCCAGACCATAAAGTGAGAAGGTAAAAGATGAAAAGACCCAGCACAGCCCAAGCCAGTTGCTATGCAATCATGGCATCAAACCATTCCCAAAAACAAATCAAAATTACTCCCAGATAAATATTCATAGAAAACAATATTTAGAAAGCATCTAGTTACCTCATGTACTTCACTTTGCAGGGTAGCCACGCTTGAGCCTGTGACGTGTGTGGTTTTCTTGGGAACTATAACTACGTTTCTTTGTCTTTTTTCTGCACAATTCAAGCATGATTTCATAGTTAAAAAGAGTAAATTTCATCACTTCAACTTTACTTCCTTCTAACCTGAAGATTGCTGAATACAACTAACCTGAAAAGATGATGAATGTTGAATAAAACTAACCTGAAAATAGCCGAATACAACTTAAACAGGAAAACTGCAGGCAGGGCTAGTAAAGCAGAGGCCTATGTCAATTGGGGAAAGAGAAGAAGAAGAAACTATTAGATATATATATTTCAGATAGCAAATAACAGGATTTATACCCCACCCCCGCCCTCAACAATAGAAAGAAGTTAAGGACAAAAAGTTGTAGCTATGTATTGATATTTAATAACCTAAGTATACTAGAGAACATATAATATAAAATAATTGATGTTACATTTACACCATATTAGTTAAATACATACCGCAAACCATGCCACTTCCATACTTGCAAGCGATTGCGTGAACTCATTACCTTTTAGCATTTCTTCAACCTGTCATAATGAAATGGATTTTAGAAACTAGTATGAGACAATCATAGATCTAGCTACCACCCATATGGAGAGTTAGCCAGGTCCTTAGGTATTTACATCTCGATCTGCATAATTTTATAAAAGTTGATGTTTACATTTTTGAAATTCCATGGAACAAAATCATTGATAGATGCAAAATAAAAATATGTAATTACTTAAGAGAAGAATATTGTATATGATATATCATGCAAGCATTCATCTTTAGCCCCCTTCTTTTTTTATTTTCTTAATTTTGATTATTTTGTACTATTCCCCTCTCCTTTCTCTCTCATGAACAGATAAACAATAATTGAGATACACAGAAGCAAAAACATCAGTTCCTTCTTAGTCCTTTGACTCCTTTTAAAAATTTGTGTTCCTCAAAATTGTCACATCCCAGGAATTTTTTTCCCTTTTAGTTTCTGTAACCAAACTAAAATCCTAGCAGCACCATATATCATGCTGCATCTCCCACTTGTGTTTCAAGATTAAATTAGGTATTAATGTTATACATAAAAGCATAAGTACGAAGTCATACCTCATGATGGTAAAACGTTGCAGTTCTGATGAATTGTCCATATGCATAGATTACTTTTTCTGCACACGGCTGCAGGACAACATGTACTTGATCTAAATGTGGTCTTGTCACCATTGCAACCTGATCAATGTATGGGTCGGTAAATTTCTTAGCTTCCTGCCACAACATAGAAAAGCCATAAGAAGGAATTCCATCCATCTAATCTATGCACTTAATGAGCTAAAGTCTCATGAAGGGCTTACCTGAATGTAAGGATCTGCCAACTTTTGCACCTTGAAAACAAGTGGTGCTATAGAACTCTTTGATGAATGATAGACATCAACAGTATTTGTAGCAACGGACTGAATATGTGGTTTAAGATAGGCTATAAATGCAAAATACTGTTTCTTCAAACTTGGGATCCATTTCTTCAAATTAACAGAGGGAGAATTAGAAACGTTACCAACTTCGTTCAAAATGTCAAATAGAAAAGCTAACAGAACACCCACTATGCAGAAAAGAGAAACATGTCAAACACCAAGACTGATACTAACACTTCAGAACTTTGATTATGAATCAGATAAACCTCCGCCTGCTTTACATTCCTTTTCAAATTTTAAGGTTTCCTTATAGCATTAGTACCCAATACAAAGGTTTTACATTTACAATTACAAGAGTTATGATTCAATATCTATAACGAAGAATCTCATCCTTGGACCACCCTCACAGGTGCACAAAGTTAACCTTGATCTGGCAAATATATTCCAAGGTGTTGGGCACACATCCTCTTAGCTTGTCTATAGTGTTATAGTTGCAACAATATTGCCCCTAAATTAACCACCAAGGTCCATCCGGGGTTGATCAGGCCCATGGATCCTTCCAGGTGTGGGGTTTTATCTCAAAAGGTCTCTGTGCAATTTAGGGAGATCTACCACTTAATCCCTAAATGGACGGTTCTTTTCTGAAACTTGGCCAAAAACTGAGGGACCATCATCATACCTTCAGAAACTTGGCCAAAAACAATGTACATAAATAGCAGCACAATGCCAATATTTGATGTAGGAAGCGTAATGATCATATGCCCTGTATTGTGTTGTATGTCCCACAATAGGTCCCATATCCATTGTCTGTAAATACTGCATATTTGATTCCATTCATAAAGCATATTGAAACTGAATTTGTCTAAATTTCCCCTAGTAGTTCTCATACTTGTAAAGGCTCTGCACGTACACTCGGAATATTGGCAATGCTCATATTAGTTGTCCAAGTAAGAACCTTATTTCATGGTTTATACTAGCATACTCAAATTCATCATCTACTACCATAATCCATTTCTTAGTATAGGGTATCTACAAAGTTTTGATTCATAACTGATGCCAAGTTACATTATAAACATCTTGAAACTGGAATGAAAGCTCCACATGATACTTTCTGAAATGTTCCTGGTGTAGATTAGTAAAGAAAAAGAAGAGAGATAACACCCAGAGAATTGGAAGAAATGGTTGGGATATTGACATTGATATCAGAAAAAAGTGTAATCTTAATTCATTAACCAAGTCAGAATACACTGAAATATAATGGTCTAGTTATATAGGCTAGTACAACGGGATAGACATTTGTAAATTAACTAAGATAAACACCAACAAATACCTAGATAAACATAGAAGAGAATAATCCTCAAACTCATAAAACGGATAAACATGAAAATGGAAGGAATCTAGTAAGACTCTATCAGTTCCTCTATTAGCTAAAGCAGCAATAGACTTTGAATAACAACTTTTGTAGGAATCAAGACAGTAGTAATGCATTAGCGCCTCAATAGAAGGAAAACCATAAAGCTTGAGAATTAGCATTTCAAAATCAAACCATAGTCTGGACTGATGAAGCAAAGACAACATCAAATTATTTCTTGAGAATTCATAAGAAATGTTGGGGATAACATACCGTTCTGATGCTTTCAATGTTGAGCTCAGCCCAAACCTCAACTTGAGTTTTCATCACTAAGGCCTGAGAAGTGCAAATAAATAAATAAATGCTTAGGTGTTTCCCATCGTTTGAAAAAAAAAAGCTTAGCGATTCTAGCTTACAAGACGCTAGTTCTCTTTAGTTAAAGATTCACCTGGAAACTCAACATCTTTATTGACAGAAGCTTAACAAATACAATTTGTGGAAAACCACAGACGCACCTTTTCAATTCCCAGATCCAAGGCTGGTCTTCCAAGCTCGTTCCAGTAAGTCACGATGTATGACTGCACGTAAACACTTGGTCATGAATTAGGCTGATATTGTTAACCCACTAAACTGCATAAAATTTACCTGAAAATTGCCTATATGAACTGCAAACGTATGCAGAAGCCATCCTCCATGGGCCTGATTATGGGTCCAAGATATTACTATCAGAGATATGGAAAACTTAATTAAGAAAAAAGATATAGATGATAACAAGAATATGACATGCTTCAATGCTATCCAAGTTCAAAATTTACCAGTGAATAATAAGATAAGGCTATAACCAAATCTGCATGCTAGGCAATCGATAAGTTTATTGTTCCACTAGTTTGATTGACAGAGGTGAAAGGCCACAAGTCTTTAAACAAAAAGCGGTGTAACTAGAGAGATGACAACAACAATGTTGCAAAAAACACCAGGCATTATAAAATTATAACATTGCCATTTCCTTACCTCTGTCAAATCTCTAGATATCGAAGAGATCCCAAATTTTTCCTTCATCATTTCTTCCTGAGATCTCATAAAATTAATACCATAATCTAGGCAATAGAAAATTTCATGTAGCAAATAAACGGACAGAAAACCTCTGCCACTTGAAGATCACGTTCAGTTCTGCGAATTCCGATCTTCTGTCCATCATTAAATTTTTGAAGCTGAGAAGGAATAGAAAGAGAATTAGAACAGAAAATTTCTCATACCAAAGTCCCCTTCCACAATTTTTTTTTTTTGCATCCATGGAAAACTGAACTTGATTACAAGTTAAGTCTAGTTGTATGTAGGACCTTGATCACAAACTAGCATAATAGTTCTGAATTTTGGCTTAATTTATTGGATTATGGAGATAAGTAATGTATACTGAGCAGTCCATTACTTCAATCAATCAAAAGACCCTTTAAACTGTATCAAAGTTTTTGTCCGTTAAGATTATCTATTTGGCCCAGCATAACCTTTTTAAGCTATAAAGTAAAGCACTAATATGAACTAAAAGTTCAGCTTAATTAAATGGAATAGCAAGACACATAATTTCATGAATTCACTGTTCAATATCTCAGAATTCTGTTCTGATTCTATCATATATGTATGTCGGATAAAACTATGTTTTCTGTGAATAACAAATTATGGATTGAAACCCCAACTTGAAAGTCATTAATGTGGAAAGAGAAGGAAAGTGAAAGTTACTAAGACAGAAACTGTAATATAGGCCTTCCAAGAAAGAAGGAAAAAGCACAGTACTTACATTTTCTAATTTCAAACTCAGTTCACGGATTTTCTGCTCAGCTATACTTGCTCGGGCTTCCAGTTCATCTTTTCTCTTATTTTGCATTATGATGTCCTCTCTAAGTCTTTTAACCTGTCATGAAGACTAAAACATTAGCCATGCAAGAAGACATGATATTGATATTAGAGCTAGCTTAAGGAAAACTAACCTGCTTCTCAAGCCCACCAGCCTGCACATGTGACTTATCTGTGAGTTCCACAACATCTAAAGAGTCTCTTCCCTAACCAAAAGAAAAGAGAGAACAGATAAATAAGAATCTTGTCAAATGGGGTGTAGCAAGCCTATCTTATTTTCCAGAAACAGAGGCCCATTGTTTACATAGAGACATAATCTACACTCCACTTGTTGACTAAATAGAATGAGTAAACAAAACAGAAATGGACCCTCCAGTGAAGGATCGATAATGTTAACAAAGACACACTTCTTAACCACTTTATTCCACTAAGAAAACACATCTTAATCACTTTCCATACTTCTGCCACAAAACTAATGGAACCAAACAGTGGCTTCATGATTTAACAGCTCTGTGAACTGAACTATATGGTACCAGAGAATGATTTTAGCCTTGAAACTGAAAGACAATGTAAGAAAATACTAAAACCTCACCTGGACAGACTCTATCCCACTTTGTATTAATGCAATGCTGTTTGATTTCTCTTGAATAATCTTCTCCATCTGTCTAATACTTTCATCCTTTTCTTTCAGTTCACGGTTTTTCTCATCAAGGCTTGATTCTTCAACAACATGAGAATAGGAACGTCATGAAAATAGACAAAATAATGAACTGAAACAGTAGCCAATTATGTAAAACAAAGTTTCAAGTTAGTTTGTGCACTTACTACATTATTGATCATTTGAGTTCTCTAATAATTATTTTGTTTTATAAGACATACTATCTCAGGTCTAAAATCATTGAATCTGGGAGCACCTCAGTGGACTAACCTATTTTATCAAAATGTTGACACTACAAATATAATGGGGAGTCAGGATTGAGTTGTATTGCAGAAGAGGAATGCAGGACTAACTCGTACTACAAACACTTCTTCTTTCAATTGCATCTTTACGGCTCAACCCTCTTCATATGGTTTCCAGAAAACAAAAAACTTTGCTCCACCCATACCAAAAAACTTGAACAAAACTTCAATTCCATATATTCCTTCTATTGGATTTTCACATTTTCAAATCCCAATGTAAGGAAAACGTGCAACAGTAAAAAATATTTTATTTTCCTACAACCTCCAAGTAACCAAATGTACAGAACATACGATTATTTTACTTACAACAAAAAGGAAAAACAATATTACAAACCCAATGCCATATAAAAATCTGATATATGGAATTGTATATTTACTATACATTCAATTCATTAAGACCAAGAAGTGATAGACTGTTATTCCCATTCAATATTCATTCACCCAAAAAAAAAAAAAGTTTATGATTGCAACAACCTAGAAGGGAAAATGAGAATGAAGGTGTGAAAATGATCACCTAGAAGTGAAACCTTCAATTGGAGTAACTCAAGTTGGAGTTTCAGAGACGAATCAGCAACCTCTTGAGCAGAAGCGGAAGCGCCGTCGTTTGGAAGCGGTGCGTCTGCCGTAATTCTGCTGAATAATAGGGCTAAGAATATGGAGAAGACCAAAATCTTAGAGGTTGCCATGAGGGAATTTGGACAACCAAGGGTGCAGTGATCACTGATGAAAGAAAGAAGAAAGAAAGAAAAGCTTTTCCAAGTGAGTCTCAGAGGCGCTCGAAACTTGAAAATTTATACCAAGTAGGCCCATTGTACAATGTACTAGGTACAAATAAATAGTATTTTACTAATTATCACATACTTATCTACGTGTTGTAGTATAAGTGGATACTTATTGATACTATACTGTAGAAGTGAGAATTACTATCCTTGTCGTCCAACTATATTATATATGGAGAAGGATTACACCATTGCGATTTCCTTTTTTTTCTTCCTCTTTCTCTTGTTTCCATGTGTTTAGTTTAGGCCAATTTTTTTTTTTAAATTACGCTATTATTCCTGACTCTCATATTGGGTTTTAGATAGTTTCCTTGTTATCTTTTGCACTCTTTTAGGACGCTTCTATTTTATAGAGCATTTTCTCAAAAAAAAAAAAAAAAAAAGGAAAAAGGTTTTACACCATAATTTTTTGATTAATTATTTTGCCACCCAAATTATTTTATGAATCTCATTTTATGTACAAAGCATCTGGGCCTCCAAATTTTTTTAAACCCACTTATAAGAGAAACCAAAACAGGCCATGTACTTATCCATATATCACTTTTTTAAAAACAAAGGCCTTTTGACAAAAGAAAATAAGAAAACGGGTTTCTTTTTGTTTTCAATTCCCTAACCCAATCTTATAAAACATACGAAAGTCCAAATATAATATTAAATCCAGAAAAAAGGGGTTCTAGCGTGCTGTTGATACACCACCATTAATTCATTCATCGATTATTGATACCATGTTGATGTACTTAGTGTTATTATCTTTTCACCGAAGACATATGCATTGTTATTATTATCAATTTTATTGCTAAACATATTAATTTTTTTTCTTCAGATCAAGCCTATTTATGATTCTGGCTAAACACTTGTGTTTGTTTGCTTCATTTTACTGATTTTTGTTTGTTTTTGAATTGAATCCATTTTTTTAAAAATGTAAAAGACAATCGAGTTGGCTATCAATATGGGAAAATAAATGTAGTTGATGCAATTAAGGATGCAATTGGTTATATATTTATGGATTACGGTGTAATTGATGCCACTAAGAATGTGTTTAGTTCTATTTATTGATTGTGAGTTTTTTTTGTGAGGTTACATTGGAGGAAAGAAACCCCACTGGGGTTCAGGGTGCCATGGGGTGGGGGGAAAAGGGGAAATCCACCACCATGGTGATGCCACTAAGGATGTGTTTAGTTCTATTTATTGATCGTGAATTTTTTTCATCACTTGTATGTATAGGGGTTCTCAATATTCTCTTTGTACAGGGCCTCAGAAATCAATGGGCTTGCCTTGTTTGTGTCACAACTAGCAAAACCCTCAGCAAAATGGATTACTTATTCGAAGGAAAGATACATTGAAAAGCTATTACTTCTACTCCTAGAAAGCAGTAAAATTTAATAAAGAAAGCGTGTGTGCGGATAAAATTCGGTTTTGCAATCCCTTCTATGTTCTTAAAAACTTGTATTTATAGGGTTCATTTCCTTGGATTAAAATACTTTTTAGTAAAAAAGAGACTAAAACACAAATTTCACAATGGTTTTTAACCAAAACATCTTAGCCTTAACCTTACCAATTGATCTAAATGATACTGTTAGTGAGCAGGTAGCTACCTCTGGACCTTTACAACTAATAAATAAGATATTCATATGCGAATTCCACATCTCGTATGTCATGGCATTACATGGAACGAAGAGAGCCCAACATAGCCAAGAACAAATTGCTGGTCGACAAATATAGATTGCATTTTGAGGCGTGTATATACAATGCCGGCAATTCATCCTTGGCTCAGTTAGACTCTATTCTGTTCCATGTAATGCTTTAGAAAAATCATTGCTTGCCAATCTAAGTTCGCACTGTTTCTTGCATTAGAAATGGTGGGGATGCAAATGCTATATATAGCCACAGAAAGTTGAAGAAAAAATGAGGAGGGAAATGAACATATATGCTGTGTACACGTTGAACCCACTCTCAGAGACATGAACATGTGAGTGCCATGCATTCATATGCCTTGCCATCCAAAAAGTTAAAAGAGAGTTGTTTAAATGTATCTCTTCGACACCGCGATATCGTTATCTCTTCTGGTCACTACTCATCAGATTTGGGAATATGGTTGACATGCTGCATGGGAGATCATATTTTGCAGAATATAGAATCTGATTGGACGTCTTGAAATTTGAAAGAGAGAGTATAGGACACCTTATATCAATGAGACACACAATTATTTTGTTAAGACTGGCAAGTACGTTGGTTTCTCAAAAGAAGGTTTCTATAGTGAAAATAAAGTTGATGCCCTCATAAGACTTTTTTTTCTTCATTAGAACAAAGTGTTTGATTGGTTTTTGATTAAAAGGGTTGGGTTTTAGGAGGGGGGTTTCGAACTTGGAACCTCTCCTAACATTGGGAAGAGAAGTACGTACCATGGCTATATAAAAGTCTTCAGATTTTCAATTAAGTTCATGAAGTAATTTAGTTATAAAATTTTGCAGGTGATCATTCTTTTGATTTAAATGCACATATAAAAATCCTTTGCCATTTTATTAGGACCAAAAAGTTGACAAAGTTGAGTCAAATTGCACATTATTCTTTCTAAAAAGTCGGATGGAACATGAGCATGTTGGGTGCCATACTGCCATGCTATCCAAATTGCACTTTAAAGTACTCGGGTGCCATACTGCCATGCTATCCAATTTGTAACAAAAAAGACAATGTGATATATCTCCAGATCGACCTCTATCTCATCACCTGGTCAGCGCACTTGTGTATCGAAATTAGATTTGGGAATGGTTGACATGCTGGTTAATAATTGTAGAATATAGCATCTGATAAACACTACAAGAAAACCAAGTTTTTACCATTTAAGGCGCACTTGTGTACCAAGTTTTTGACTCACTCTCATTATAATGATGAGAGGATTGTCAAACTTTTTTTTTCTCTAAATATTTTATGTTGTACAGGATACGTATACGGGTTATATGTCTCGTGTTACACATATATAATTGTGTCTGATCGTGTTTGTGTAGATGTATATACCCTTGATCTTATGTACTGTGTCGTCAAAGATATACATTGAAAGCTACATTACATTAGGCAGCTAGCAGTGAATTCTTTGCGGATAGCTCAAGATTATGTGTTATAGTAGTCCCGTGACCCTGCTCCACGCAGCATCTTAAGAAAATACGTGACTTTAAGCTGCTGGTCATGCAAAATTAATCACAACATCATGTATTAATAGTGGCCAAAGTCCCGATCATGACCCTACCGAAGAAGAAGAAAATAATGAAAAAATATATACAATCTTTAGCAAACACTTTAATAAGATTTAAATAGAATATGATTCGGGGCACTACTGTACGTAGTGTCTTTGTAGAAAACCCACATAAAGAAATAGAGAAAATCGAACTTATCCTCTGCAGAGATATAGATAGATGCCTTAACCTGCAGCAGGTGTCGAGAAATTATGGCTCCGATGATTAGCCTTCATATTTTAAGAACAAATTCTCATTGACTTTATCATGCCACAACTACGTACATGCACTCAATTCAAGCACTCAATCTGAACAAGTCAACGCCCTTCTTTTCTTTCCAATTCCAACTATATATAGAAGAAAAAATGATGTAAAATATGAGCTTCCCATAAAAAAAAGATACATATATTCCAAAAGTGGAAGAGCTTTAACTGTCAAACGATGGAATAGAATCATACCTTTAATTTTTGAGGTATGAGTTGTTTGCATGCAGTCTATGGCTATAAATAGGATGACAACGCTGCGTTATGTAAATGAACTGAAATGGTTCAGATTAATAAAAATACCATTTGTTCAAGAGTCTTGCATGAAGAGATGGAGAGTAGATATGAGCCAAGGATGACTTGCCAAGGCATTTGGCCTTTCCACTTGTTTATCTTTCTGGCAAGCTGTCCTTGGTTCACGTTTGCTCTCTTTTCTCTCATGTGAGATTCAAGGATCAATGCCTACAACTGGAGAGGGTTAGGAGAATTTAATTACTTTATAATTGTGATGCTAATGCAAATTTTTGCTTGTGTTTTCTGTCTGCAGCAACTGGAGGAGTTAAATCATAACGTGTTTCGGCGATTTCCCTTTTGTGAGAGCCTTGTGGTTGATAAAATTGTAGCATTCAACTCAAAACTAATTGAAATTGGTGGAGATATTATAAGCTCAGTAAGGCATGACTTTACATCTCTCCTGTGGGATGTGCCCCAGCCATTGAGCATGACATTGTTGTTATGCAGAACCCTCAATCCTGGACATATAAATTTCATGCACTTCTGTTGACATATAAGTTCATCTTTATTTTACTTTTGGTAAACATAATTTGATGTTATTTATTTTATTCAAATAGTTCTTATCACATCTAAGACTTCTGTGCGTTTCCTGATGTCCCAATTATTTCAAGATTTTTTTTGGTGCTATGACACCTGCAAATGTCTAACATATTCCTTATGGAATTTCTTTGTAGGCTTACGAGTGTGTAGAGAAGCCTTGAGAAAAGAAGTCCAGTAGTCTTTCTCGCTCCATGTTGTTTCCCTACCACAAAATTTTCCTTCAATTATTAACTAAATATCTTGTCTACAAAACTACGAACAATACATGTAAAAATTGAGATTAGATTAAAACACACACACACACACATACATACATACATACAGTCAGGCAACGTCCAACCCTCAATCCTGGACATATAACTTTCATGCTTCCATGATTGCCGTTTGCGTTTAGCAAAAGGCAACCCCCCCCAAAATACATTTTTGTTCCGTTTCCAACCAAAGGCGTTGACTGTATTTTGCTTCGTAAATCTCCCCCATTATAATACTTTCCGCAACCTTCCAAATCTGATTAGGAGAACAAACTCAGGTCCATCAGATGATGTTTGGTTCAAATTGATGTAAATTTTCAAACACCTGAAAAATACTATTTTTTAAAAATAAAAATAAAAAACCAATTATAGCCGCGCGGCTATATTATTTATGAAAAAAAAAGGAATTAAAAAAACCAGTACAGCCGATCGGCTATA